GATGCTGGAGCCATGCTCAGGGGGTAAAGGAGATGCTGGAGCCATGCCCAGGGGGTAAAGGAGATGCTGGAGCCATGCTCAGGGGTAAAGGAGATGCTGGAACCATGCTCAGCAGGTAAAGGCATTTCTCATGGAGCCTGACGATCTGAGTGTAATCCCCGGGACTCACGTGATGAAGGCAGAGGCCAGACTCCAGCAAGCTGCCCTCTGACCTCACCCGTGAGTACGTATCTGCACAGTGCGTAGACTGAAATAACTTTTTTAAATACAGAAAATTGGAAAATATATGGTCACTTTTCCAAGTGACAATCACAGCCCAGCTGTCTGCTGTACTTGTTTTATATTATTATGTGTATACTATTTTTATTTTTAGTTTTTGGCTTTTCAAGACAGGGATTCTCTGTAGCTTTGGAGCCTGTCCTGTAACTAGCTCTGTAGACCAGGCTGGCCTCGAACTCACAGAGATCTGCCTGCCTCAGCTTCCCGAGTGCTGGGATTAAAGACGTGTGCCACCACTTCCTAGCTAAAATGGCTGTATTTCATCTTTATCCTTGAAGGGGATCTTAGACAGGCTTAGAACTCTAATTTGCAGTTTTTCTTTGAGCCCCGTGATTCACTTGCTCTGCTGTCTCCTTGCTTGGTTTATGTTGAGAAGCGTGCTGCCTGCCCATGATCTCCTGACCCTAATCTGCCTACTTTTAGGAGTTTCCCCTTTCTTTGATTTCCATAGTGTTCCGATGGTGTGCATGTGTGGTTTTCTTTCTGCTTTAAGCTTGTCTTGCTTCTTTCCCCTGGAGTTTGATATTGGTAGAGACTTTCTATTGCCAGCTTGTTTAAGCTGAACCTTAGTTTCTCTTCACTGTACAGTTTCAGTTTCAAGAGAAATTGATATGTGGTTTGGAAGGCAGAGGTGAGGCAACACCTGTTTCTCTACTTTGAAGTTGGAGTCACTAATATGCACTGATCTGCATACCTTGTTGACATGGGTATTGCTGAGATCTGCAGCTCCCTTGTCTTTGACCCCACCTCTTTCTGCAGCTTGTCTGAGTAGTGTATGAGGTTTTGTACAACGTGTGGTGAAGATTCTTAGGTTGCTCATGCAATCAAAGCTCGAGGTTGTGAGTCAGCCGTGGCTTAGAGTTTGTTCTTACGGTTCCAGTGCATCTGTGGAAGTTCTAGTTTCTTCCCGACTGCCCGTCTGACTAACAGTGACTTAAGTGAGGCCTGCCACCAAATATAGGGGCAGAGGCCTCTCATGCGGATCCTCCGTGTTCCCGGAAGTGTGAAATACGACCCCTGTGATAAACTTTACTCTGTACCACTCATTGTGGTTGTGTTTCTCTAAAGAAACCTTTACACAGAGCCTGTCCACAGCAGTACTAGAAGATACAGTCTTTTACTTAAAAAAGATGTATTTTTTAAAACTGTGTTTATGTGTGTTTGTGTATGTATGTGGAGTATGTGCTCTTGAGGATAAGATTTTTAGATGACAGGCTGGCATTTAATGAGGCTGCATATAAAATGCTGTTCCAGTTCATTAAGAAGACTCATACTGGGGCAGGCAAGATGGCTCAACAGGCAAAGGTACTTGTCACCAGGGCTGACAACATAGATTTGATTCCTGAATCCTACACAATATAAGGAGAGGGCAGACTCGCACAGTTACCTTCTGACTGCCACACGCATGCTGTGCCTCCCACTCTCACAAAAGGAAGAAAGACAAAGAATATTTTCGAACGACTAGGACCTCTGCGGGATCAGGCCCGAGCCAGCAACATCCGTGGGAACAGGACCAAGTGAGCGACCTCCGTGGGAGCAGGTCAGAGCCAGTGACCTCTGGGGGACCGAGCCAGCACTGAGCTCAAGCCGGCAACCTCCCCTGGAGCAGGTGGACTGAGCAACCTCTGAGAGAGCAGACCCAAGTGAGCAACCTCCTTGGGAGCAGGCCCGAATGACCTCTGGGATTGCAGAGCAACTTCCGGGAGCACCAAACTACCTCCAGGAATGCTGAGGATGCAGAGTGACCTCGGGGTGACTGGAACCCTTGCCCTGACTCCACTAGGAGAACAACCATCTGAGCCTTGGATCCACCGGCACCAGAGACCCGGCCCCAACGACACCAATCAGAGGAAAAGATAGGTGGACAACAAGGTAAGAGCACTCAGCACCACAGGGAGCACCACAGCACCACTTGAACACCCTAATACAGACGAAGCAGAAGAAAATGATCTAAAAAAATAACTTTAGGAGAATGTTTGAGGGCATTAAAGAGGAAATGAAAAGTTCCCTCAAAGAAATGGAGGAAAAGACAAACAAAAAATTGGAAGAAATCAACAAATTCCTTAAAACCAAGAAAAAACAGGTGAAAGAAAAGGTTCAAGATTGAAAACTGAAACAGATACATTTTAAAAATCTTCTCTGATTGTTCTATTAATTGTGTTTTGTTGGGCACAATTTCATCTATTTTGAAAGCTTAACTGTGTCCCCTTTTGACTTCCACCAAACCTCTGACCTGGGGCTCATATGCTAGACGTAGTGTTAGCACTACGCTCCACCCAAACCCTCCTTACAGGGCTCTCTTTCCCGGAGTGCCCTTCCCTCGCAGGCCCTTCACTGAGGACTGCCTACCCGGTCCTTCATGGTGTGTCATATAAACCCTACAAAAGTGGCATTTCCTTTGTTATTTTTAAGTCTTCTTTTAAGATTTATGTATTTTATTCATCAGATCCCACTATAGATAGTTGTGAGCCACCACCTGGTTGCTTGGAGTTGAACTCGGGACCTATAGAAAGAATAATTAGTACTCTTAGCCCAATAAGCAAACTCTCCAGCCCCTCCTTTATTGTTTTTAATGTGGTTATAGTCTCACTCTATATATTTTATATCTTTAAAGTTTTTCATTGACATAGAAAACCTAAACAAATACAACAGTGTCTCCCCTCACAAGTCTTTAGTAGTTTTCCCACAGACGGTACTTTTGGAGCAGAATGATTGGGACGTATCTCTCATACATATGAGAGCAATTTATATGGTGGTTATGAGTGCAGTTATGTAAGAAGGTATATGTAGTGGCATTTCATTTGTATTTAAATAAATAAAGCTTGCCTGAAGATCAGAGAATAAAACAGTTGCACTGACCAGCCTTACAGACCAGGCAGTGGTGGCCCACACCTTTAATTCCAGTACCCATGATAGTTTGCCATAGAAACCAGGTGGTGCATGCCTTTAATCCTGGTGGTGCACGACTTTAACCCCAGCCCTAGAAAGGAAGATAAAATGGGAGGAGACAGCTCTCAGTCACAGTCTCATTCTGAAGTTTCCTGGAGACAATATCACCATTTTCAGACTGAGGTTGAGGTAAGAACCAGTGGCTGGCTGCTTTGCTTTTCTGGTCTTCAGGTTGAGCCCCAATATCTGTCTCCTGCATTTTTATTAATCATGCTACAGGTATACGTGTTCCTGGACAGGGAGCTTGGAAGGGAGAAATGACTGGTCATGTTGATGTAATGAATTCAGGGGGTGATTCCCTTTTCTTAGATAGTGCAGAATTTCTACATCACATTGTTTATTGAAGATGATATAAATTTGGATATATGTTATATATAACTTTTTTTTAACATCTCTCCACTTATAGAGGCTACATTAACATCACTGGTTGCCTATTGTACAAAATTAAAAAAAAAGTATCCCCAAAGCACTCATAAGATCTGTTCACAGAGTGCTTCTCCTCTCGTTCCCTCCAATTTTTAATGCCCCATTTAGTCTACTCTTGTCTCTACCCTTAATGTAGATGCTATTATTGATCCCTGCTATATTTTAAGGATTGAAATGTATTTTTTCAGGGTTGTTTATCTAGGGACAAAACGCTGGTTCTTGTGGTCCATTTTTATGTTGAGTACAGCCGGGCTCATGACCGCCTACACGTCCTTGCTTTTGGTGAGTGATGCTTCTCATTTTTCACTTTTGAGCAGCCTCACAGGTTGCTCCTTCCTGTGCTGTTGTATCTATCTGGAGTCTTTAATATTCGTAGAGCTGGGAGTTTACATCGGCCGCTTCAGTTTTATGCACAAGGGATGGCTGAAAGATTTATGCTGTTTAGAGGATTTGTCTAATTAGTTTGGTCCTTTGAGAGGGTGACAGAGCACCTTTTTTTTTTTTATTCCCCCATTTCGTACTCTATCCATGAGCTCACTAGCATTATCATTTAAACACCTAGCACATTACTCCACAGTCTGGGACTTATACTCTGCAAATGCTAATCTCCTAGCTCAGCTGCAGGTTATTTGCATATGACCCTGTCGCGTGATGTGCTGGAGTCATAGTGCCTGAAGATAGACACCACACAAGAGAAGGACCCATGGACATGGAGACTAACTGAGAGGTAGCTTTAACTGGACACCGGGTGCTTGCCTTGATTTCATAATCCTATGTTCCCACTCACCTCTCTGGCACACAAGAGTCCAACCCTTGAATATGTTGTCAATTGCAATATTTTTCTTCTAAAAATGTAATCATTATTATGAAAATATTGTAATGAGTACTGATTATGTAGAAATCAATAAAATGAAAGCGCGTAGTTCCCATCTTCATGTAGAGCTCTCAGTAGAGACTGCGTGCTCATTCCATTTCTCATCGCTGGGACAGATGCAGCCTGAGAGGATGCAGTCTTCTGTGTGGGAAGAGGCAAGTGTGTGAGGCCTCTGGTCACGTCAAATCACAGTCAGGAAGCCAAGAGAGATGGCTTACCCTCCACTCATTTTGTCTTTTTTATTCATTCTGGGGCCTCAGCCCATGGGATGCTGTTGGCCACATTCAGAGAGTCTTCCCTCCTAAGTTAGATCTTTCTGTAGAAATTCTTATAGACGCATGCAGAAGTGTTTCCATGGAGATCCTAAATCAAATCAAAATGACCATGAAAAGTAGTCCTCACAGACTGGTGTGAGATAGAGCTGTGATTATTTCTTCATCCAGTGTTTAGGATCACAGACAAAGTCACTACTGCACATGGAACTTGGTAATTATCATTACAGATGCCCAAATGCATTACCAGGGCCTCTAAGAGGGAAGAGATCCCTGCCAGCAAAGATCATCAAATAATGTAACACGAGGGCCGGCTTGTTGGGGTTTCTGTCCCACCCGGTACCCCACAACTGGCAATTCCCAAAGAGAAAATCACACACAGGACTCCATAACATTATAAACTGATTGGCCCTTAGCTCTGGCTACTTATTAGTTCTTATGACTTATCTTAACCCATTATTCTGATCTATGTTAGCCACATGGGCTCAGTACCTTTCTCAGCGTGACAGCTTACATGTTGCCTCTTCGGTGGTCTGCGCAGGAGTGACTAAGGGAGTTTTCTCCTCCCTAGCCTTATCCTAGTCTCATTGCCCCGCCTCTACTTCCTGTCTGGTTGGCCCACCTATACTTCCTGCCTGGCCAATCAGCGTTTTATTAAAATACATGATTGACAGAATACAGACAATTCTCCCGCACCAAAATAAAACTTCTTAGAAGGAGCAGCGCTGGAGGGCTGGGGGGACAGCTTAGTCAGGACAGTGTCTGCTGTGTAAACATAGGTTCCGATCTCCAGATCAAACCAGTGCTGCAGAGCTTCAGCTCAGAGACAGGTGCGTCCCTGAAGCTCATTGGCCAGGTGGCTCAACAGCCAACTTCCGGCTCCCAAGATAAAAGTGGTCCATGAACATGTGTGTGTACTTGGTGCGGATGTGTGCACACACAGTAGCAGCACTGGAGTGGGATTTCGAAGAGACAACGGATTTGAACACGGGGGTTGAAATGTGAGGCACATTGTGGGCTGAGGGAACCCACTGTGGGAGAGGAGTGAGAGAGAAGCATATCTGATGCTTGTTAGGAGGGGAGTGGTGTGGAGTGGTGGGAGGCACACCTGTGATGGGAGACAGCTTCTGAACGTAAAGTAAGGTAACGTGGTAGACACGAGTTTCCATTGTAGGAAAATTCATACCAGAAGCTGTAATGTGAAGGTAGAGAGACCAGCTGAGAATCTCTCCTTTCAGTAAGGAGGATGCAGGTGTAGTGTGTGCCCAGGGCTAAATTCTGGGCTTCTGATTTGTACGGCGTTTGTGCACAGTCAGTGGGAAACGGGATTGTTAGCTTCCAGTGTGAAAGTGTTAGTGTCCAGCGGAGTCATGGCTTTAGCAGACTCTCTACCTTCCTCTTTTGGACACCAGTGGAGACGGGGCGAGGCCTGGCGTCAGTTCCGGAGCTCACACAGTAGTCGTGGTTAAGTCACACAGCTCTTCTAAGCCTTGGCTGCTTTTTAGTTTCCAAATGATAATGATAATACTTAATAAAATGTACTTTTATATGGCTAAATAAAAATATACACAAAATTATTCCAGTAAAAGGTAAGTGCTTTGTGCATTGATATGTTAGCAGCGGAGGACGTGAGCTCTCAGTGTCTATGCTCATACTGACTTGATGACTGGCTGGGTTTAGCCTTAGATTTGAAATGTATTGAGCACATACAATGTTAATGACAATCACAACATCAGCACCAGTTCTGGAAAGAGCTTTTAAGTGACCCTTGGGAGAGTTGACTCTTAAACTCTCTTCTCTTATAAGTGAATCTAAGTAATGCCAGGCATGAAGTCCGTCATAGGGAAGGACAGAAATGCCAGAAGGAAGAATCAGTGGTAATGGCTGTGAGCTCCCAGAGGAGAGATAATCAATTCTCCCCAGGGTGCTGGTGGACTCTACAGATCGGAAATTACATTTAAACTGGCTTCGAGGGTCAGTGGCACGGGGAAGAAACCTTAAAGAGATGAGAAATAGCATGGCAAGAGAAAATAGAGAGTAGCCTCAGCAGTGCAAGGGGTGCCCACCTTGAGGGCCCTGAGCTACGCACTGCTGGGGTAGGACCTAGTCGGGTATGTAAGATAACATAACTGCCGTGTCTTCATTGCTTTGCAGTTACTCAGCTTTTTTTTACTCTGGGAAAGGATTGAGTTACATCTGCATACATGTCATAAGGTAAGCAGTCAGTCCTCATGGCCGTGCACGGAATGGCAGGGGTTCCCACTACTCAGCCCTCACGGGAGGCTGTACATGGAATGGCAGGGGTTCCCACCGCTCAGTCTTCACCAGAGGCCGTACATGGAATGGCAGGGATTCCCACCGCTCAGTGCTATACGTGTAGCTGGCCCTCTTTCACTGCTCCCTGACAGACCTGTTTGTGCCGTTTTAACTGAGATAAGTAAATTCCCCCCTTCCGTCCCTCCCTCCTTCCGTCCCTCCCTCCTTCCGTCCCTCTCCCCTTTCTTCCCTCCCTCCCTCCCTCCCTCCCTCCCTCCCTCCCTCCCAACCTCCCTCCCTTTCCCTTTCTCTCTTCTCTCCCTGTCCCTATGATATACCTCGCAGATCTACGCATTCTGCTTTCTCTATCTGGGCCTCGCTTGCATATGCCTGTCATGGTGGAGAGGGTAGTGGCCCTTTCCCGATAACATTTTTCTTGGGTCAGTGTCTACTTTCTCATGATCCGGTGAAACTTCTCCTTTAAGGTCTGATTGACCTTTCCTTGGTTTGAATCCATCTTCAAATGATGCTACCATGGCTTCTCTCAGATAGCTCATCACTGGTTCCCTCATTCCACTCTCTGTGGACCAATAGCATCCCTGCACCATGGAGTCTCTGACTTTGTCCTGCCGTGGGCTGGAGCAGCTACAGTGGCACACTCCTCTTTTTATAGACTTCCTCGAGTATGGTGCTGACGTCATGCTGATGTTTCTCCAGGACTGGGAGCATGTCAAGTCTTTCGAGTAGCCTCCTTAAGTCTCCTCTTACTCAAATGAGAAACTCAAATTGGAAGTGTAAACTTCAGTATTATTAAAATAAATGGGAATTGAAAATCATGAGCTCTTTCATGGAAAGAATGTATATAAAAGGGGGAAAAAAGCCTTTTGCTAATGCCGCCCATTTTAGATGCTGGACACTCTTATAAATTAATCAGCAGAAGATGGAAATAACTTATTATTCCATCAGCCCCTTCTCACTAAATCTTTGACAGAGAAATTGTTGGCGTCCCACTTTCATTAAGGGCAGCTAACATCTTTAGTCAGAAACAGGAGGCTTAAACTCTCGGCTAAATCCTAGCCACAGATTTATCCTAGCGGCCTTTCCATACACACTCAGCAGGATGTCATTTTGTTAGCCTCTAAGTAAGAATGCTCGTGTCCAGTTAAGCCCTAGGTTTCAGTGAGCTTTTCATTCTCCCTACCTCTTTGGATACAAACAGTGGTGGTTGAGCCAGTTTCAGACAACAACATTGTTTAATATTAGATTTGGTATTCTGAAATGAAAATCTCTGATATGTGTTTCATATCACTGGAGTAAGACTGGGCTGTTTGTTTGTTTCTGCTTCTTGGGGGGGGGCGTCGATACAGGTTTCTCTGTAGCTTTGAAGCCTGTCCTGGAACTTGCCCTTGTAGACCAGGCTGGCCTCGAACTCACAGAGATGCACCTGCCTCTGCCTCCTGAGTGCTGTAGTTAGAGGCATGTACCACCGCCGCCCAGCTAAATTAGATTGGTTTAAAATTATGCTTTCTTCTTGTCTAGCATCATCCTTAGACTTAATTCCTAAACATCCTCAGTGGGACTTCTTTTTTGTTCATTCAAATAATAAACTGTTGCCATTTTTCTCAACTTTCTTGTCCTGGACTATTTTGGGATCTAATTGCAGTATGAGTCTGTGGACAATAAGAAGAGATGAAGGGGGTTATGGCAGGAGGTGACCTTCCTTGGAAGGTAGTTACTTTGGTTAGGCCTTCAAATCAGCACAAACAAGGCCTATGGAGTCTGTTTCCATTGGCAAGGGGGATTCTTGAGGGCTTGGAGGTTTACTCTTATTCTTTTTCAGAATAAGCCAGAAGGGGTAGGATTGGCAGCAGGTCTAGAATCTCTTAATCATCCAGGGATACCCTGAGAGCACTTCAGAATGCAGCGATCAGTCAAAACTCCTTATATAAATGTGTATAACTTGACTTCCTTATTTAAAAAAAAAACCCTAAGGTAACAGTGAGCTAGCAATAATGGGATGTCTCTGTGAAATTTTCTAGCAAGCTAGACTTAATGTACCTTGGGTGATTTTACTTTAAATCAGCCTGGAGCACACAGGTTTCACGGCAGCAGAAGGACTCACTGGAGTTGTCCAGTGGGTGGAGTGATGGATAAGGACGCACCATGCACAACAGGGCTCCTTCTGGCATTTCTACACACTTGTCTCAAAGCACACCTCACAGTCTACGCTCACAATCAGAGTGTCTGGCTGATGCAGGAGGAGAAAGTCCTTTCATGGGGGGCTGTGTTTACATGACTAGATTTTCCCAAGGGAAATAATTTATTTGTACCTTATGATTGCTTGTGCCCTTTTAAATCATTTGTAAAGTTTGGGTTTGGATAAGAGGTAAATTCAACAGTCCAACTGTTGCGATGCATTTGGTTTCCTGATAGACCAGTAATTTTGCATTCATGTATTTGAGATCTTAGCTTATACTTCCTTTTAAAACAAAAAAAGTCAAAGAGGAGGTAAAGGTTTGTAATGACTGCTGCTGAAAATGGGTGGCCGGCTAAGGATGAAAATAATTGAAAAAGGCAGAGGGTGGAGATGCTAGATTGGTGTTCGCATCAAGCCACACAATTGTGTGATTCCTTCCAGCCATGCAATGCCCAGGACAGTTGTGATCCACATCTGGTGCTTTTCTGTTTCCCCAGGTCTGCATTTTCCTGGTGATCCTGCTGTGCTCCTTCTTGCTCTGTGTTCTGAACCGATACTGGAAGGACAAGTGGCTGATAGCCGGGCTGTCACTGCAGGTGAGCACCAGCCTGTACTGCTCATCACGGTGTCCAGATGCGGCTAGTCTGACTCTTGGCTTTTCCCCAGATCTTTGCTCCCTTTCTGCACCTGAGCCTCATAACTGTGATGATTCTCCTTTCCTGGCCCCTAGCCATTGGTGTGGCCCACTTGGAATCAGAAGGTATGTCGTGTGAAGTGGAATCTTGCCTGGTCTCCCCAGCTTGTATCCTCCAATCAGAGACAGAGCTGTGCTCTTTGGAAGCTCTGTAGTGTGTCATGTAGGCTCTTTATGGTCTCGCTTTCCGACTCCTGTGACCTACCATAGTATTTCTAGGACCAAGCATCCTTCTTCTAAGAAAGATGCTCTTAGGAAAGCATCATTTCCGCTTTGTTAGTGCACACCATTTATGTGGGACAGAGAGACAGCAGAGGGCATCTCGATTTTGTTTTGACCTGAGTGCTTCTGTAAGACTTGGCCTGTTCATACACAGACATCACGGATTTCAGTTAATACTATGCCCAGTGATCTTTGGTTACATCAGGTAACTCAGAGAAATCCCACGTGACCCCTGTCACACCTAGGAACTTAAAGTAGCAGGGCTGACTGCCTCTGAAGCTGGTTTGCTCTCTGTCCTTTTGCAGTGTTGTGGAAACAAGACAGTGAGCTCAGTGTGCTGAACAGCTTTGTGAATGAGAGCTGTGGGGTCTCCGTCTACGTCTCTCTTTCACTATTGGTCAAATGAAGGGCACTTGCTTCCTGGTTTGTATGCAGGCTAGTGAAGGGCTGGTTTAATAGTGGTGCTGGTGTGTGCGCACGTATGTGTGTGTGTGTGCACACGCGTGCATGCATGTATATGTAGTAAATTTTAGAACATACTCCTTGGATAGGAGCTTAAGGGAACATTACTAAACTACTCTCTTTGTTTTAGTTAGAGTAAGAAGATACAGAATGGCAGATTACGAGCACGAAGTCCTGGAGACATGTAATATATTCACAAGGTTAAAAGGTTAGACCTGGAGGGAAGTCC